TATCTATCTATCTATCTATCTATCTTCTATCTATCTATCTATTTATCTATCTATCTATCTATCTATCATCTATCATCATCTATCAACATTTCTTTCTGCTTTCCTTCCTTCCTTTCTTTTCTTTCTATCTATATAGCCATCTATTCCATTCATCCATGTACGCATCTATCCATCCATGCACCCACCCATTAGCCATACATATATTCATCCAGGCACCCAGGCACCCAGGCACCCAGGCATCCATCCATCCATCCATCCATCCTACTATACACTGTCATTTATCCATCCATCCCCCCACTTACTCATTCATGACCAATGTACTACAACCAGGCGAAAACTGTCAGAAACTGACTCCAAAGTTACCTCTTGGCTGTCTAGATAATAAGTTTTCTGGGAGACACATTCCTCAAGCTCAAGTCACGATACCCCCAGAGAGAGCTACAACAGCCCAAAGACTGCTAGGGCCCTATATTTTGGGAAACCTGCATTCCCAGACAATTTCAATAAACAGCTGGCACCCTTGATCCAGACTGCCCGGCACCAAGAAGTCTGTTTATTCCCACATGCACAAGCTGCTTTTCCTGTGCTTACTTGGAGTAAAAAGCGCATCACAGGGAGGTGGGCCCCTGCCCTGTGATTGCAGATGTGCAGGTTCACGTATCCTGGATCTGGCACACCACTCTGAGATGGTAAGATGGGGTATCTGCCTTCTCACTGAGCACTGTGTAAGCTGTCCTAATAAAGCCTGTTCTTTGTTCCATGCCATGTGATTAAATCAAGCCTTCACTCACAGAATCACAAATATGTTCATATATGCTGCTGGCTACTAGAGATTTTTGAAAAAGGCTCTGAAACTGACCTCAGTGATCTGGTACAACAGAGCAGGATCTGTGGAAGCACAGATAATGCCAGTACAGTGGGCGAGTGGCATTTTGTAGGCAAGCGCAGTTGGTCATAGGAGAACTTGCTGAAGAAGAGATTTGAGTTGAATCTAGAAGGATGAAGAAGATTAGGAAGTGGGAGTGCAGGTGTGGCTAGGGGCCAGACATTCCAGGAGAGAAACCAAAGTGAGCAGGAAGAAGGCAGAACCAAGGAGGACGTACAAACGGCTCTAAAGCAGGGTGTTGAGGAGCAGACTGGAAAGGCTGACAGGAGCAAGATCGCCAGTTTTGTAGCCACACCTGGACACTTGGGTTCCATTCAAGGAGACTAGGAATGATCTGGCCAGGTATGAGCTGCATTCTGGCCCTGGCTGGAGAACTGGCGGTTGGGGGAAGGATGGATTCATGCACAAGCTACAGATTTACTGGACTGGAGATGCTGGGGGCAGGGCTCAGGGCAGAGTTCAGCCAACAGGTAGGACTCAGTGAGGCCTCCCAGGGAGGATGCAGAAGAGTGAGAGGAAGGAAAGAGTAAGGAAAACTTCTAGCCTCAGTCTGAGCATCTGTCCCATCTGAAACTTCGTCCCATAAAAGCACCTCCACATTCTAGTAGAAGTTATAGGACCTGCTTTAAATCATGGAGTGGCTTACAGATGAGCTAGCTGACCCTGAAAAGCTAGGACACTGAGAAGAGACTGAGTCCGTGAGGAACACGACAAGATCAGAACCCGGGGTTCCCGTCCAAAGGTCTGTTCAACCCATCCTGCCTCTTGGGTACCAGAGCAACCTTTCTTAATACTCCCCATTTATTCTCACAGAATGAACTCAGACTCCTTGTGCTAAGATGTCTAAAGGTCTGAGATAGAACAGAAGTGGGCCTCACATTGTGGCACATGCCTTTAATCCCAACGCTTAGGAGGCAGAGACAGGCAAATCTCTGTGAGTTTAAGGCCATCCTCATTTACATAGTGAGTTCCAGACCAGCCAGAGCTGTGTAGTGAGGTAAACAGCTTTAAGCACGGGTATAGTATAACATTTAGAAAGGAACCAGGAGAAGGTGATGAGGAAGGATGATGTAGGCAAAAGGACACGAGTCACAAAAGAGGACATAAAGCTAATTGTTTTTCTAGTTGCAACTCTGTCATGGTATTTTACCTTTTTTGCATGGCAGACAGGTGAATAAAAATGTACTGATACTGAAGTGGACAAGCCTAAGGGAAGCTCCATGGCTTCAGAATGACCACCTAACTGCACAGAAGTTCACCGCCATGTATAGAGCTTGGAACTGAGCAAACGTCGGTGGCTCCTTTAAACCAGCTGTGTGATCATTTTATTTGTGAGTGCATTACATTAAAGTGG